CTTATAAAATAAGTGTATAGCATGGTCACTAAAGTTAATAATACTGTATTGTAAGTTTGAAAGTTTCTAAGAGAGATCTTAAAAGTTCTCATCAAAAGAAAAAATATATAACTATGTGAGGTGGTAGATGTTAAATAACCTTAATGTGATTATCATCCTGTAGTGTATATATACATCAACTCATTATGTTGCATACCTTAATCATATCCGATGTAATACGTGTATTTTACCTCAATAAAACTAATGGACAAAAAGGAAATACAAAATCTGAGCAGCTCAGTGAGACTAAGACGACTGAATTAGCAATCAAAAACCTCACGAAAAGAAAAGCTTAGGACCAGATGGTTTCACTAGTGAATTCTATGAAAGATTTAAAGAAGAATTAATACCACTTCTTCTCAAACTCTTCCTAAAAACCTGAAAAGAACACTTTCAAACTCATTTTATGAGGCGAGGATTACACTGACACTAGTTCCAGATTAAGACATATAAGACAATATAGGTCAATATTTCTGATAAATATGATGCAAAAATTCTCAAGAAAATGCTAGCAAACCAAATTCAGCAGCACATTAAAGGATCATACACCATCATCTAGTGGGATTCATCTCTAGGAAGCAGAGACATATGCAAATCAATAAATGTGATGCACAACATTAACACATATAAGATAAAATCACATTTCTATAGATACAATAAAAGCATCTGACAAAATTCAACATATTTTCATGATTAAAATTCTCAGTAAATTTGTATATAAGGAACGTACTTCAACGTAATCAATGCGTTATATGACAAGCCTACCACTATTAACAAGCATGCTCAATGGTGAATGGCTGAAAGCTTTTCCTCTAATATCAGTAACAAGACAGGGATGCCAACTCTCACCACTTTTACTTAATGTACTGCTGGAAGTCCTATCCAGAGCAATCAGGCAAGAAAAAGAAATAAAAGAAAGGAAGAAGCAAAATTGTCCGTTTGGAGCTGATATGATTTGTTTTAGGAAAAATCTAGAAACTCTCCTAAGAGATAATATTAGAATACTATAATAATAATGGAATTCAATAATGTTTCAGGATACAAAATACAAAAATTACTTGTTTCAATAACAATGAACATTGAAAAGAGAAATTAAGAGACACTCCCATTTACAATAGTACAGAATAGGATAAAGTGCTTAGGAATATATTTAACTTCGGCGGTTAAAAATCTATACACTGAAAGCTATTAGAAATTTATAAAAGAAATTGAAGAAAACACAAATAAATGGAATAATATTCTGTATTTATGGATTGTAAGAATTAATATCGTGAAAATGCCCTTACTACTCAAAGCCATCTGTAGATTTATTGTAATCCCTATCTAAAATTCCATGGAGAATCAAAAGACCAATTATATCCATTCATCCTTCGATGGACACCAAGGCTTCTTCCACAGTTTGGCTATTGTGGACATTGCTGCTATAAACATCAGGGTGCAGGTGGATGAATGGATAAAGAAGATGTGGTCTATGTATACAATGGAATATTACTCAACCATTAGAAATGACAAATACCCACCATTTGCTTCGACGTGGATGGAACTGGAGGGTAGGTATTATGCTGAGTGAAATAAGTCAATCAGAGAAGGACAAACATTATATGGTCTCGTTCATTTGGGGAATATAAAAAATAGTGAAAGGGAATAAAGGGGAAAGGAGAGAAAATGAGTGGGAAATATCAGAGAGGGAGACAGAACATGAGAGACTACTAACTCTGGGAAACGAACAAGGGGTGGTGGAAAGGGAGGTCGGCGAGGTCGGTGAGGGGTGGGGGTGACTGAGTGATGGGTACCGAGGGGGGCACTTGATGGGATGAGCACTGGGTGTTATGTTATATGTTGGCAAATTGAACTCCAATTAAAAAAAAAGACCAATTATAAACCCATAGTTAACTAATATTTATCAGGAGGTCAGGAATACTCAGTGGGGAAAGGATAGCCTCTTTTATAAATGATATTGGGAAAATTGGATTTTCACATGCAAAGGAATGTATTGGACTCCTGTCTTACACTGCTCAGAAAAATTAACTCAAAATGAATTAAAGATTTAAGTGTAAGACCTAACACCATAAAAATCCTAAAAGAAAATATAGGGAAAATACTCCTTGATGTGATTTTGGCAACAAGTTTTTTAATATGACACCAAAAGCATGACCAAAATAAAAAAACTGGGATTACATCAAACGAAAAAGCCTTCTGCACAGAAAAAAAAAATCAACAAAATAAAAAGGCGACCTACAGAATGAGAGAAAATATTGGCAAACATGTATCAGATAAGGGATTAATATTCAAAATTTATGAGCAACACATACAACTCAACTACAAACTACAAAAAAATAGTTCAGTAAAAAATGGGCAAATGACCTGAATAGATGTTTCTCCAAATAAAACATGCAAATGCCCATGTAAATGTTCTACAAGTGTAAAAAAAAAAAGATGTTCAGTATTACCAATCATCAGAACAATGTAAATCAAAACCATGAGAGGTTATATTTGTTAGAGTGGCTGCTATCAAAAAAAGAGAGATAACAAGTGCTGGTGAGGATTTGGAGAAAAAGGAGCCCTTGGACACTGATGGTAGGAATATAAATTTGTAAGGTACTATGAAAACAGTATGGAGAGTCCCCAAAAAGTTGAAAATAGAGTGGTCATCTGATCCAGCAATTCCACTTCTAGTGTATATGGAAAGAAAATGAAATCAAGATCCCAAAGAGATGTCTGCACCCTCATGTTCATTGCAGCATTATTCACAATAGCCAAGACAATGAACAACTGATATATCCTTCAGCAGATGAATGGATAATATATATGTTACATATACAATAGAATATTATTCAGCCATAAAAATAAGGAAATATTACCATTTATGGAAACATGGATGGACTTTGAGGGCATCATACTATGTGAAATAAGTAAAACAAAAATACAAATACTATATGATTTCATTTATATTGGAATATTAAAAAAGCAAAATTATAGAAACGGAAAGTAGATGGTAGTTGCCAGGGCCTGGGATGGGGGAAGTATAAAGATGTTGGTCAAAGGGCACAAACTTTAGTTGCCAGATGAGGAATTCGGGGAATATAATGTACAGCACAGTGACTATAGTTAATATTTTAACTTGGGAGTTGCTAAGAGAGTAGTTCTTAAATGCTCTTACCACACACAAAAAAGGTTATTTTGTGAAGTGATGGATATACTAACTTTATTGTAGTAATCATCTTGGAATATATATGTGTATCAAATCATCACATTGTACACCTTAAACTTATAGAATGTTACTTATCAATTATATCTCAATAAATCTGGAAAACAAAAGTAAGATCTAAAACAAAGCAAAAACAATATTAGCTTTTAAAAAAGAACTCATTGCTTCCTACTTAAGTGCCAATGGCTGACAATGGCTCAATATGATACTACTTCTAGGATAATGGGATCAAGTCATCAAACAGAGGCAAACAAAGAAGCTGTAATGTTGAAATTTCAGACATTAGCCAGCAGTTGAGGAAGCTATTTGGGAGCAGCAGAGAGGTCTTCATTGCATTCTGAATCATATGCTGTATGCAATTATGCTCTGAATATAGGTTAGGATTAAACTTTAAATTCAGCCCCTCCACCCTGGAATCTTCTATTCACATGGATTTTGCTTTGAAGCTTGCAAATATTTCTATGAAAGTTGTAGTCATTGAATTGTCCCCTTTGAATGGTCACAAATATATTCCAAGTCTTCCTTGTGTTACATGAATCATATTTTCTTTGCTTTCTTTCTAATCTACCAAATGTGACTTTCATATTAAATATGGTTTCATCACTACAATCTGAGGTAGAGTACACTTGTACCTTGCCTTTTAGAAAACCATTTCCCAACTGAAGACCTGCTTTGAAGTCACTAGTTCTTAACTTGGCTTCTTTGACACTTCTAGGGGAGTTGAGGAGGGAGAAAACCAAATTGCTTTGAAATTAAATGGAAAGCATTGGGTGATTTGCAGGAACGTCTGGCATAATGGATTATGGTCTCTTGGGGTGCCTGGGTGGTACAGTCAATTGAGCATCTGAGTCTTGGCTTTGGCTCAGGTCATGATCTCAGGGTCATGGGATTGAGCCCTGCGTTGGGATCCCTGCTCAGCTTGGAGTCTACTTAAGTTTCTCTCTCCCTGTCCTTTTGGCCCTCCTCCTGCCCCCTCCTTAAACAAATAAGTAAATATTTTTAAGATTTTGTTTTATTTATTTTTTTATAGATTTTATTTATTTATTCATAAGAGACACAGAGAGAGAAAGGCAGAGACACAGGCAGAGAGAGAAGCAGGATCCATGCAGGGAGCCTGATGTGGGACTCGATTTCAGGATTCCAGTATTACACCCTGGGCCGACGGGAGGCGCTCAACTGCTGAGCCACCCAGGCGTCCATAAATAAGTAAATCTTAAGAAAAAAAGAATGAGAAATCAAATAATGTGGATTCTAGGGACGTCTGGGTGGCTCAACAGTTGAGTGTCTCCCTTTGGTTCAGGGTATGATCCCAGTCAGGGTATTGAGTCCCACATCGGGCTCCCTGTGAGGAGTCTGCTTCTTCCTCTGTCAATGTCTCTGCTTCTCTCTGTGTCTCTCAGGAATAAATAAATAAAATCTTTTAAAACAGAAAAAAATGTGGATTCTATCCTTTGCTTTATGACCTTAGATATGACATTTCACCACAGGTCTCAGTGTCCTCATCTGTAAAATGGCTGATGACACCAAAGCTTCTCAGTAATGTCTGAGTAGGTGGGAAAGTGTGTGTTGTTGTATTAGTCACCATACCATTCCAAAATCTGTTAAGGAATTGCAGTTCTTCCTTTGGATGATTTTCAATTCCAGTTCATACTCTCTAAATAGGCTGCCTTTAATTGTCTGCTCAAAGTGGTCACTGGATGATTTGGGAAACCACTTAACTTATACTCTCCATTTGATCTCCCATCTATTCTAGGTGTCAACTCTGCCCGCTCAATTCCTCCTTCCTACCCACCACCGCAGGACCCGTTAAACCAGGGCCAGTACCTGGTCCCGGATGGCATCGCTCAGTCGCAGGTCTTTGAGTTCACCGAACCCAAGCGCAGCCAGTCACCATTCTGGCAAAATTTCAGCAGGTTAACCCCCTTCAAAAAATAATACCTACAGGGAGGCAGATAATTTTAAAATAAAGTAAATAAAATTATATTTATAGATGGACAATTTTTTGGAGAAGCACTGTTGAAATTTATATATATATAAATATATATATCTACATATATATATATTTATATATAGAGAGACACATATACACACACAGACCCTTGAGTATACACAAACACACACGTACACATACACACACACACACACACACACACACACAGAAGGACCAAAAAAAGTTTTGTTTGTTTGGGGAAGTGAAATCTGTAGTTGGTAGGAAGAGGTACCAATGACTTCTAAATATGTGATCCCTTCTTAAAAGTTTTCTGTTCTTACCCTGTCCCCCTCCCCTTTATTTTCAGAAACTGACATTTCTATGTGTTCCTTTTCTTGTTGAGATAATCTCTTTGCACACCTGTGAGTGATTCACTGACTTGTCATTATTATTATCATAGATGTGTTTGTATTGTTTTTTTCTTTCCTAATGATACTGATGCTGATAACTTTTGAATATACTTTAATGTGATGGAGTTTGGGAATTTGAATGTTTTTCCTTTTCCTTTTCAATGGGTAAGGGAGGATTCTCCTTTCTCTTTCTCTTCTCCCTCAGCTGACCACCTGTAAATGTTTCTGCAGTCCGGCATTTGCCCTAGACAGCCTTTTCCCTGCATCTTCCGTCCTCAGTTGTGCCAGTCTAGACATGCTCTGTTGTGCCCTGTGACATAACTGCTTGATATTTCTATTGCTTTCACTGTGTTTTAGGTGTTGTAGAGGGATCAAAACCAAACAGAATCAAGGGAGAGTCAGATTATAATAATGCTGGAGAGGACTTCTGTTCAGGGAACATTCTGCATTTGGGCTCTTCTAGCACTGGGGGTTCCCATGTTGTAGCACTGCTGGATCATGAGTAGTTTTATATCTGGGACTTAGTTTGAGCTAATTATTATCTTCTTCAAGCTGCTTTGGTTATGGTGTTCCTTGTAGGCCTCTCCCTCCCCTAACCTAAAAGATCTGAGCTTGAAGCAAAGGGGCTGAGACTCTGCTTCTCGGGGGAGGGATTCAACTGCCTAGCACCAAGTAGGCTTAAAATTGGAGGTCCCCACTGAAATTATTTCAGGGGCCTGGTCATCCCTGCTTCCATTTTCAGATTACAGGTGGCATTTCTTGGAGTCTATGAAGGGGTCAAGACAGAGCACACCTGATCAAGATCATCAGCTGCCTTCAAATTATTGACCTGGACAGGATCCAAGGCTGACCATAACCTCTTAAAGGAAAGAACAGGAATGGGCATGGAAAGAGGCAGCCCTAGCCCAAGATATATACCTGCAGTTCCTACCACTCCAGTTATATGAAATTTCCCCTATTGTTAACAGATTGCATGGACAGTCTTCCGTGACTCCTGCCTTTTCCTCTCCCTGTTGTCCTTCATTCTCCTATTCTCCTGGCACAGGAAAATTACTGCTATTAGCATAGTTAAAGAACTTCTGTCACTCTAAGAAAGCCCTATGTCCAACATTCTCCCATCCCAGGACATTTGAAGTAAGTAAGTGAGGAGCCCAGTGAGGCTTCCCTATGGAGAAAAGATCTGAGGTAGAGACACTACCCTCAGGCTCATATTTTGCAGGCTTTATACTTAGGAAAAACTAACTTCTCCCACTAAAAGGCAGGGTCCCTATGGGTGCAAGAGTACCTGTTCTTCCTCCCCACATAGCCCTTTAGGTGGGCAGACCTTGAACAGCAAGAATAATGGAGTACAAAGGAGTAAGAATGGGCCCTACTATGAAGAACCACTCTAGTGAGGAATCTGGAAATTTTGAGTCTGTTCTGGACCCCAGGAGAAAACTGTCATGAAAGGACTTCAGCTTACTGAGCAGCAGCCATGGCTACATGAAGCCCTCAGCACAGCTAACTTGATTGCTGCTCTATGCCTCCTGACCCAGACCAGGCCCTGCCCAGCCTAGGAATTATTCCTCTTTGGGAATCAAATTACAAGCTCTTTATGCTGCCATTCCACCACATTCAAATCAGACTTGTGGAGTAAGTCAAGGGTAAGCCTGAGCTGGGCAGAGGGCTGGGGCTCGGGACTGGCCACAACTGCTCAGCAAATGACCCAGCTACTTAAGCCTCCCTTGGCAAGGAACCTGGTACCCAGTGCCTAAGCTAAAATGGTCTCCCTGGCAAACAGCATGTGTTTCAGTAACTGTGTAGGCCTCCCTTAAGTATACATCCTTTTCCTACTTTCCGTTCCTCTCCACTAGGCTTAATCTTGACGTTTTTCTCCAGGGACTAGGAATAAACCAAGAGCGGATGGTTGGCCAAGTCCCTGGGCCTACAGCATCTCTTAGCCAAGCCTCCTTGTCCTCCCTCCATTCCCTTCCCCCTGAGCCTGTGACCAGAGCTCCAGGATCAGGGATGTTACCTCTTGCCACCCACCTCTCATCTACCCAAACCACTGGCCTCACCAGATACCAAGAACTTGTGAAAACAACAAGAGATCAGTTCACCATTGGTTGGAGTATTCCCCAGCCTATGGCAGCAAAGCAGACCAGTGACCAACAGCCCCAAGGGGAGCCCTATTACCTGGGATCAGGGTCCAGGTCTATTCTGTGCCCCACAGCAGTGCTATCCCCAAGAATTCTGTAAATCTCTTCTATGTGTGCATGGCCCCCAAGCTCCCCTTTCCTCAACTCAATGAGGCCTGGATTTGCTCTCCAAAAGGCTTTGCTAGTGTATTTTTTGGGCCCTGCTGTGGGATGCTCCTAACACAGAAATCTAACTCCTCTTTCTCCCTCTATCCTCTTCTCTCTGTGTGTATAAATCTAATGGATTTATCAACGACAGTGACAAGAGAGTTCTAACAATTCTAGTGTGAAGCCAAATAGTGATCTTTTAGTGCTTTGGGGCTGGGGTGGGCTGGGGTGGATGGATGGGTAACAGTGATTTTGATTACCCCTGCTGCTCTGCATTTGCCAGTTTATTATTTTGTTTCTTCCGAATGTTTGACGCTGTCAAACAAGTGTCAAAGTTGTGTGTTTAAAAAAATGTTTATCAACAAAACTATGATGTTGTAATGACACAAAGCCTTATGAAAATATTTATGGAGTTCAATAAAAGAAGTAAAAAGACACTTCCAGGCAGAGTTTTCTTGCCTCTCTCTCTCTCTCTCTCTCTCTGTGTGTGTGTGTGTGTGTGTGTGTGTGTGTGTTACTAGTTGCAAAATAAAGAGAATTTTCCTGATGAGGGACAGCTTATCTCAACCTAATCTTGGCCTGCCAGCCCTGCTGTTACATTGTCAGGCATCTCATGGGATGTCTGTGACCTTCCATGTCCTTTCTGGAAGAGTGGTCCATAAGAAACAAGTTTGATCCTATAACCAGGGGCACTTCAAATGTCTTTATACATGGGACTGTTCTTCATATCACCTGTCCCTTGAGGACCTATTCCTGACTCCATTCCTTTTCCTTATAGCTACAAGTCCAATACCTGCCCTGGGCACTCAGAGGAGCTTAAAAGCTGCTTTTTGAATCTAGACAGAGGCCATATCATATTCTGGTTCCGTCTTCTCAGAGGTAGACACATTCCTTATCCAACCCCCAAAGTCAGTGTAGTGACCTTACTGTTTTATTCATCATGGTGTTGCCTACAAATAGATGCTCCTTGCTGCCCACAAGGCCCCCATGTGGTGTCTTATCCTATGCATCAGAGATGCAATACTGGGTTCGTTCTGGCACTGCCTCACCTGTCTCCAGAGTGACTAAACACTAACTCTAATTACTTATTTCCTAAAAGGGACCAGGTAATTGTTCCAAACTACAGAGTTAGGAGGAAGAGCAAGTATTCTACCTCTGGGTTAGAGTATGAGCCCTGTCTATCTAGGATGAAAGGATGCCCCTAATCCTAGATTTGGAGAAAGTAATTATTAAAACATCTCCTTCAATAAAATTTACTCTCCATTTCTTGACTCTCTCATAAGCTAACCACTTTCTCTACTACTCACACTTTCTCTTTTCCATGTAGTCTGCAGTCTTTTTTCATCAAACTCAGAACACTCAGTTCTCGCCAGTCCCTGCTCCATCTTGCCAGTTCTGAGCCTCATCAGCTTCCAAAGGTGAATTTCAATTATTGCCTCTGCTCTGAGTATTCCCTAAACTGCCTTCTGATGGTCCTAGAATGGAGGATGGGGAGACAAATTCTGAGGGTTGTACACTTTAGGATGCAGCTAATTCTCTCCTAAGGTACCTAAAATAAAGCATGTCTCATCAGCAGAAGATTTATTTCTGAAAGTCCCATACGGTCCACATGATCATCCATATTCTTTATTACCATGAAGAATGGCTCTATGACTTACAAGCTAAGAGCATTTACCCACTTAACTGCCATCAGTTTTATTACAGAGCACCTTATGTTGACTGTTGACAGTGCTGCTATGTTCACTGATGGAAGTTCCACTTGCCTAATTGAGTTTCCATTTTTTAATATTTTTTATTGAAGTTTAATTTGCCAACATATACTATAACACCCATTACTCATCCCATCAAGTATACTCCTCAGTGCCCATTACCAAGTTAAACCATCCCACTCCCCACCTCCCCTTCCACTACCCTTTGTTCGTTTCCCAGAGTTAGGAGTCTCTCATGTTCTGTCACCCTCTCTAATTTTTCCTTCTCATTCTCCTTTCCCCTATAATCCTTTTTATTATTTCTTCTATTCCTCATATGAGTGAAACCATATGATGATTGTCTTTCTCGGATTGACTTACTTCACTCTACATAATACCTTCCAGTTCCATCCACGTCAAAGAAAATGGTGGGTATTCGTCCTTTCTAATGACTAATATCGCAATATATATATATATATATATATATATATATATATATATATATATATGACGTATATGTATGTTATACGCACAACACATATATATATGTGTGTGTTGTATGTTATACGCACAACACATATATATATGTGTGTGTTGTATGTTATACACAACACATGTATATATATATATACACATACACACACAAACACACATCTCCCTTATTCATTCATCTGTCTAAGCACATAGTGGATCCTTCCTCAGTTTGGCTACTGTGAACATTGCTGCTATGAACATTGCAGGTGTCCTGGTTTTTCAATACATCTGTATATTTGGGGTAAATACCCAATACTGCAATTGCTGGGTCATAGGATAGCTCTATTTTTAACTTTTTGAGGAATGTCCACGTAGTTTTCCAGAGTGCTTGCACCAGTCTGCATTCCCACCAAGAGTGCAAGAGAGTTCCCCCTTCTCCACATCTTGACCAACATTTGTTTCCTGTCTTGTTAATTGTCCTCACCTGTGTGAGGTGCTATCTCATTGTGCTTTTGATTTGTATTTCCCTGATAACAAGTGACATGGAGCATTTTCTCATGAGCTTGTTGGCCATGTGTATATCTTCTTTGGTGAAACTAAAGTTCTTGTCTTTTGCCCTTTCAGGATTGGATTGTTTTGTTTCTTGGGTGTTGAGTTTCATAAGTTCTTTATAGATATTGGAAACTAGCCCTTTATCTGATATGTCATTTGCAAATATCTTCTCACATTCTTTAGGTTGTCTTTTGGTTTTGTTGACTGTTTCTTTTGCTGTACAAAAGCTTTTTATCTTAAGTCCCAATAGATCATTTTTGCTTTTGTTTCAATTGCCTTCATAGATGTATTTTAAAAGAAGTTGCTGTGGCCGTTAAAAAGGCTGTAGCCTGAGTTCTCCTCTAGGATTTTGATAGATTCTTGTCTCACGTTTAGAGCTTTCATCCACTTTGAGTTTATCTTTCTGTATGATATAAGAGAATGCTAGTTTCATTTGTCTGCACATGACTGTCCAAATTTCCCAGCACCATTTATTGAAGAGACTGTCCTTTTTCCAATGGATATAAATTTTCTATTTTTTTTACCTTTTTTAAAAATCTTTTTTATTGTTCAATTTGCCAACATATAGCATAATACCCAATGCTCAACCCGCTAAGTGCCATCCCCAGACCCATCACACAGTCACCACAACCACCCGCCCACCTCCCTTTCCACTACCCCTTGTTCGTTTCCCAGAGTTAGGTGTCTTTCATGTTTTGTCACCCTCATGATATTTTCACTCATTTTCTCTCCTTTCCCTTTATTCCCTTTCATAAATTTTTATATTCCCCAGATGAATGAGACCATATAATGTTTTTCCTTTTCCAATTGACTTATTTCACTCAGCATAACACCCTTCAGTTCCATCCACCTCGAAGCAAATGGTGGGTATTTGTTGTTTCTAATGGCTGAGTAATATTCCATTGTATACATATACCACATCTTTTTTTTATTTTTAATATTTTTATTTTATTTTTTTAATAAATTAATTTTTATTGGTGTTCAATTTACCAACATACAGAATAACACCCAGTGCTCATCCCAACAAGTGTCCCCTCAGTGCCCGTCACCCATTCACCCCCACCCCCCGCCCTCCTCCCCTTCCACCACCCTAGTTAATTTCCCAGAGTTAGGAGTCTTTGTGTTCTGTCTCCCTTTCTGATATTTCCCACACATTTCTTCTCCCTTCCCTTATATTCCCTTTCACTATTATTCATATTCCCCAAATGAATGAGAACGTACAATGTTTGTTCTTCTCCAATTGACTTACTTCACTCAGCATAATACCATCCAGTTCCATCCACGTTGAAGCAAATGGTGGGTATTTGTCGTTTCTAATGGCTGAGTAATATTCCATTGTATACATAAACCACATCTTCTTTATCCATTCATCTTTTGATGGACAGCGAGGCTCCTTCCACAGTTTGGCTACTGTGGACATTGCAGCTAGAAACATCGGGGTGCAGGTGTCCTGGCGTTTCATTGCATCGGAATCTTTGGGGTAAATCCCTAACAGTGCAATTGCTGGGTCGTAGGGCAGATCTATTTTTAACTCTTTGAGGAACCTCCACACAGTTTTCCAGAGTGGCTGCACCAGTTCACATTCCCACCAACAGTGTAAGAGGGTTCCCTTTTCTCCGCATCCTCTCCAACATTTGTTGTTTCCTGCCTTGTTAATATTCCCCATTCTCACTGGGGTGAGGTGGTATCTCATTGTGGTTTTGATTTGTATTTCCCTGATGGCAAGTGATGCAGAGCATTTTCTCATGTGCATGTTGACCATGTCTATGTCTTCCTCTGTGAGATTTCTCTTCATGTCTTTTGCCCATTTCAGGATTGGATTGTTTGTTTCTTTGCTGTTGAGTTTAATAAGTTCTTTATAGATTTTGGAAACTAGCCCTTTATCTGATATGTTATTTGCAAATATCTTCTCCCATTCTGTAGGTTGTCTTTGAGGTTTGTTGACTGTATCCTTTGCTGTGCAAAAGCTTCTTATCTTCATGAAGTCCCAATAGTTCATTTTTGCTTTTGATTCTTTTGCTATCGTGGATGTATCTTGCAAGAAGTTACTGTGGCCGAGTTCAAAAAGGGTGTTGCCTGTGTTCTCCTCTAGGATTTTGATGGTATCTTGTCTCACATTTAGATCTTTCATCCATTTTGAGTTTATCTTTGTGTATGGTGCAAGAGACTGGTCTAGTTTCATTCTTCTGCATGTGGATGTCCAATTTTCCCAGCACCATTTATTGAAGAGACTGTCTTTCTTCCAGTGGATAGTCTTTCCTCCTTTATCAAATATTAGTTGACCATAAAGTTCAGGGTCCACTTCTGGGTTCTCTATTCTGTTCCACTGATCTATGTGTCTGTTTTTGTGCCAGTACCACACTGTCTTGATGACCACAGCTTTGTAGTACAACCAAATATGGCATTGTGATGCCCCCAGATATGGTTTTCTTTTTTAAAATTCCCCTGCCTATTCGGGGTCTTTTCTGATTCCACACAAATCTTAAAATAATTTGTTCTAACTCCCTGAAGAAAGTCCATGGTATTTTGATAGGGATTGCATTAAACGTGTAAATTGCCCTGGGTAACATTGACATTTTCACAATATGACTTCTGCCAATCCATGAGCATGGAATATTTTTCCATCTCTTTGTGTCTTCCTCAATTTCTTTCAGAAGTGTTCTATAGTTTTTAGGGTATAGATCCTATACTTCTTCAGTTAGGTTTATTCCTAGGTATCTTAT